GATGCCCTTTCCCCCGGATTTTTGGCATTTATTTGGCATCCGCTGGCATAATAAATTTTACTTTTCCGTCCGCCTCACTTTCGGCTGCAGCCCAAAAATTTTCTACATGTTGTCAGAGGCAATCTGCTGGATCCTCTCCAACAATTACGCAATACCCTACCTGATCCATCTTTTAGACGATTTCTTAATCATCTCGCCTCCCGAATCCATCCCAGCCGCGCATCTTTTGACAACCCAAAAGGTTGATAGGACGATCTTGGTCACTTCCACCCTCTTAGACAATCCAAGCTGCTCCAAACGCGAGCTGCTATCCATTCTCGGTCATCTAAAAATCCAATTTTTCCACAAACTCATATATGCTTCACCCTCACCCCAGATAGCCAATTCTCAGACCTCCCTACTCATCAAAGGTATCCAAAGAGCCCATCCCACTCGCCCAGACACCAGACGCCGCAGTAGCTTTTTCACACTTCCCCACTGCCGCAGCAGTGCCCGCTCCCGCAGGAGCTTTTCCATACTTCCCCACTGCCGCAGCAGTGCCCGCTCCCGCAGGAGCTCTTCCATGTTTCCCCTCCGCCGCAGTAGCTTTTTCATACTTCCCCACTGCCGCAGCAGTGCCCGCTCCCGCAGGAGCTCTTCCATGTTTCCCCTCCGCCGCAGTAGCTTTTTCATACTTCCCCACTGCCGCAGCAGTGCCCGCTCCCGCAGGAGCTCTTCCATGTTTCCCCTCCGCCGCAGTAGCTTTTTCATACTTCCCCACTGCCGCAGCAGTGCCCGCTCCCGCAGGAGCTCTTCCATGTTTCCCCTCCGCCGCAGTAGCTTTTTCATACTTCCCCACTGCCGCAGCAGTGCCCGCTCCCGCAGGAGCTCTTCCATGTTTCCCCTCCGCCGCAGTAGCTTTTTCATACTTCCCCACTGCCGCAGCAGTGCCCGCTCCCGCAGGAGCTCTTCCATGTTTCCCCTCCGCCGCAGTAGCTTTTTCATACTTCCCCACTGCCGCAGCAGTGCCCGCTCCCGCAGGAGCTCTTCCATGTTTCCCCTCCGCCGCAGTAGCTTTTTCATACTTCCCCACTGCCGCAGCAGTGCCCGCTCCCGCAGGAGCTCTTCCATGTTTCCCCTCCGCCGCAGTAGCTTTTTCATACTTCCCCACTGCCGCAGCAGTGCCCGCTCCCGCAGGAGCTCTTCCATGTTTCCCCTCCGCCGCAGTAGCTTTTTCATACTTCCCCACTGCCGCAGCAGTGCCCGCTCCCGCAGGAGCTTTTCCATACTTCCCCACTGCCGCAGCAGTTCCCGCTCCCGCTGGAGCCATTATCTGTATTTTACACTGCCGCAGCAGCGCTTGCTTCCGCAGAAGCCATGTTTCTTTTCAGACGCCGTAGCAGTTCCCACTCCAACAGGAGTTTTTCTTTTTCAGATGCCGCAGCAGCGCCCGCTTCCGCAGAAGCCTCTAGTTCTCTCTTGTAAGCCTCAGCAGTGCCGCTACTACAAGCGATGTCCAGCACCCCACCAAATTTAAGTTTTGCAAATTTTGGGGAGTTATCAATGCTCCTCTCTGGCTGCTGTTCCATACTAATTGCATCTTTGTTGGAGCGCTTCGGGTCCGGGCTTAGACCCGAGCTCGGACCCCTCTCCCCGGACAGGGGGAGTACCCCGGGCTCGAGAGTAATCCCTCTCCTTGGACAGCACGCCAAATATGAATAACCTTTACTCTGTTCATTATATGTAAGTGTGAACTCGTGAAATATATATAATCAGTGCAAAACAACTCTTTTTTTAATGTGATGGTATTAAACCAGTTAAACTCTGCGGACCCGGATACGGGTCCAAAATGACGTTAAAAATGTTTATGCTTCACCTGAATTACAGATTTTCAAAAAAATACTTATTTTTAAATCTCCAAAAGCGCCTATGTTTTTTTTGTGTTTATAGTAATATTTGAAAAGTATATAATGTTATTTATAAAGAATTACACTCATATTTTGTAGTTCAAAGGGTTTTCTTTACAATGAAACCATTTTTTTTCATTTCCTCCATTGTATGTGTGCAGGGTAAACATTTGAATTTGAGTATGTTAAATTTAGGCGAAAATACCAAAAAACGCCCCGAGCTTAATGAAAAAAATATATTTTGAATTAAAAATCACGTTGGTTGATCTCTAATTGATTCTTTAAAAAAAAAGGCCATGCAAATTTTCCTTCATTCAGTTTTACAAACAGATTTTTTTTTTTCTTAAGGAGGATGAGACGTGAGGAAAAAAGACACTAGAGAGAGGAAGAGGTAGTAGATTAATTGATTCTTTCAGCCATGGTTTAGGAAGAAAGAGGAGGTTTTGGGAGCAAATAACATTCAGATTGTATGGGTGCCCTGTTCTTGCCGGAGTAGATATCACAGAGAGCACAATGGATGCTCTCAGGCTTAGCATCCGGCTCAAACAAGCAAAAGACTGTGCTCAGCCCAGCAGGCTGCGGGGCCTCAGCTAAACTGGGTATTATCTCAGATAACCCAGAGCAGTGATGTGTAAAAAATAGCTCAAATTAAACATTTTTTTAAACTTTCCCTTGCATAGCAGTGGTGTGTGGTGGACTTCTGAAATTAGTTTTTTTTTTTTTGTCTAATGTAAATTCATTGTTCCTTTTCCATTTGATGTTTAGAGTTTCCAATGTTACATTCTTATGAAACAGCTTATCTAGATTATTTTTATTTTTAAAGCTAATACTTTATTTTTGTATGTGTATACTAGCTGAGCGATAAAAACGAAATCATATCAAGATCGTGTTAAAATTTATGTTGATAACGATGATAAGCTCTGGACATTTTTACTTGATATGGATTAATCTAACAGTCTATCATACAGCAGAAATAAAGGTGACAGCAGTCAGTGCGTGTCGCTAATATGGCTGCATATTCCGCGTGTCTCTGTGTGAATGAACGTAGCGTCTGATACACAAACTCAAACTCACGTGACGCTTGGGGTGTTTTCAGTGTCTTTATCTCAAAACATGAGGACATGAACACATGCATTTAAATCTCCAGAGCTACTCTGAGACCCACTTCACCAGCTTTACAGTTTCATTTGAGAGAGAGAGAAAAAATACCGTCAAATACAGATGGAAACTGAAAGTAAAACTGAAAGACCTTCAATAACCCGTCAAAATAAAAGTCTGGTTTGACTTATAAAAATTCTGACAGAAATACTATTGTATAGCCTACTAAAATATAATTTTCAAAGTATTCATAATAACAAATATTTTTAAGGAATATCATCCAACCAAGATATTACTTTTCATTCATTTATACAGCTCTGTTCTGCAGCATCTTCCTTAATAATAAAAATGCAGTGTTTTGTTGTAAATTAATTTCATTTTAAAAGAATGATCGAACTGTTAAAGTTTTGTTCATTTCATTTCATTAGACTATTTTTCATGATAAATCTGTATTAAATCATTAAACACAGATTCCAGAGAGAAAGGTGAACGTGATTTCACCAAGTACAACATGTTCCTGGATCAGTATCTGTTTTAGGCTTACGATCAGGGTTAGGTGCTTCTACACCTTTGTTAATCAGCTATCATTTCACACTGATTTTAAGAATTATGGGTAAATTATGGGTAGGGTTAGGTTTAGGGGTAGGGATTGGGTTTAGTCTATATTTTTGGACAGTAATGTTCATCCAGGATCAACAAAAGGTGTTGATCCAGGAACATGTCTTACTTGGCAAAATCACGGCGACCCAGAAAGAAATGGGGAGGAAAAAATAATTTAAAATAGAATTTTTACGTATTTCCTGCCGCATTAATGAACTTTTAATAATTAAATATGCTTAAAAATAATAACTACAGTAATAAAGTAGCAAGAATATGTCCTGCAACCTTTTTAACTCTTTAAATATTATAATTTAAATATTATTTTAAAGACCTTAATGTAGCTACATTACTGATAACAAAAAATGAAAATAAACTAAATTATTTATAAAATATAATAGTATGTTATGTGTCAGAGACTTCTGTTGTGCAATTTGGAATTTTTTTTAAACAAATGATTTGGTAATATATAGTTTTTACTCACAAAAACATACATTTGACAGTATTTTACCTTACAATTACATAGAATTCAGTGTTTAAGCAGTAAATATTTTACTGTAGCATTTTTACTTTTTTCTGAAAAATTACAGAGACTTTTTACAGTGTAGTACGCCTATACAAAGATGTACTTTTAATTTAACCAACTAAGAGGTCACTGAAAACCATCTCATTCATAGATCACCACTTCAAATCATTTCAAATTAATTTAATTTCAGACATGATTGAAAGTGGTGATGTTCAAATTGTTTACGTTTCTAATCCAGTTTGACCCCCAGCAGGCACAGGACATCAATATAACGTCAGGTTGATGTTGGACATGACGTCGGACATGTTGTGTTTTGGTTGAGAATGAAAATCGGGTTGACACCAGTATTTGACGCCAATTTGACGTTGACTTAACGTTGGATTTTGGTTACACAACCTAAAAACAAAGAAATGGGGAGGAAAAAATAATTTAAAATAGAATTTTTACGTATTTCCTGCCGCATTAATGGTAGAATGTAATTGTGAACATAAATATAAGATAAATATCAATATCATATGATATGGGAAAAAATATTATGATAATTATTCTCGCCTAGCCCGTTCATATATATAACGTCAGCTGACGTCAGTATTGGACATCAAATTAACATTGACATTAGACGTTGAATTGACATTGAATTTTAGTCACACGATGTCGCAACCGAAATTTAACCAAACATCAGCATCTTATGATGTTGTATGCCTGCTGGGACCCATTCAGGTCTATTTGTAAACCGGCTGCAAACATGATAAGTGGACACTGTTGCATCTCTATGACTTCTCGAGCAGATGTGGCCTGTACTTTTTTTTCTTAACTTCTTTTTTCAAATTCTGCTCCCAAACAGCATTTATTAGTCTGCGCAACACACACTTTCACCTTCATTTCTCTCTTTCTGCTCCCCCCCACAACCTCGGCCCTTCTCTCTCGTCGTGTTTTGAGCGTAAAACAGCCCACCGGCTGATATTAGAGAGATCACATATCGGCCCGCTGACATATTTCAAATGTATCACAGATTAATAGCGTATCACTGTGAGAGATCTACAAAAACCATTAGTAAGCCTGACACTTTGACGTCAGATTTTTAAAAATTCCCAAGTAATCTTTTTGATTTATGGAAGTGTGTCCAGGTTCATCGAGAGTGATTTCAGATTTATCACGTCCTGGTTAGAATTATTAATGATTTTCAATTTGTAAATCTGATGCTGGCGGTGTCCGTGGGAGCTCGGTTGAATCGGTAAGAGCTGACACCAGGGTCTGCTGCTTGTTCCTGGAGCGCCGATTACTTTATCAAACTATCGCCCGCTTTGATTTACATTTCACTTCGTTTCTGCCGCCTCTACCTCTCTCCGAGCTTTCTGTCGCTCTCGAGCTCTCGCTCTTTCATTCATCCTCCCACCACCTCAGTGTACTTCCTCTCTCGTGCTGTAATTACAGTGTCATCTTTAATTGTATCTCTAGAAGCCTCCAAGTCTGTAAAGTCAAATTTCATTCTTCAGAACCTTGAGGATAAAGACTGGCTTTTGATTTCTGTGGGCATATAATATTACTGATTTCCTCTGGAACAAACTCTACTCACATGCACACGTGCATACGAAGTCAAATCCGCGACGTGACTCAGTTGAGTGGCTCATCGTTGCGACAACAACGAGTTTCCTGAGGTCTGTAGTTCATGGGTACTGAAACTAAGATGGCAGCCAGTGGCACTGCACCCAGTCAACAGACAGACGATGATGCTCATGACAAGTCAACACACTCGTGTTTCGCTGTGTGTCTCTCTCTATCTCTCTCCTCAGTCTGTGACTTAGTGGTGTATTTACTGGTGATGAAACATGCAGTGCAAAAGTGTTTACAGCTAGGCTTATGACAGACGTGAGTGGGGATGGCACTTTAGCGAGGAGACAGGGTTTTTTTTTTATTTCTTCCATTCTGAAGCCTTGCGTTGTTGTGACACTCCGGCTGGAATGAGCGTTTGGAACCACACAGTTGCGCAGAGCTAATCAAAGATAATCTCGCTTCTGGTTATCTTAATAGATTACACTTGTATTTTATAATTAACTGCAGATGAGCTGTCATCATTTTAGTCTTTGACCTTAAAGGGATAGTTCACTATATGTAAGGAAGCCATTATTTGCTCATATTCTGCTAATATGGTGCCCGTATGGTTATGAGACACTTGAGAACCAATCAGGTTTATTGACATCAAACTTGCATTTGATATTATTAAATGTTTAGAGATGCATTCAGTGTCTACAACTTTAGTGTATCTACTATTCGTCCTATCACCCAAAAATTATTTATAACAGCCAATCAGATCATTTATTTACTTATTTACATACTTATATATTGATTTAAATCATTAGGAGTGTTTTCTTGTCACAGACTTCGGCTTTTTCACAGGTTTATAAGACA